GCGTGATTCTATTACAGTGGTTAATAAACTGACAGGTCAGTTAATGGTTGAATTTATGGCATGACCTGCCCCCTGCTTAACGAAGTTAACGAGGTTTGGGATAATGGCCGCTATGTGCTATTTTATTATCTTGTGGATAGCAACAATAACGCTCTATAGAGTAAATTTGAAAGAAACTTTTAAAGTTATTTTTCACAGTCATTAATTTTATACGGAATTTTCTTCGATACAAGGAACGATTACCTTGCAACGTATACTACGACTTTTCATGTATCTCGTGTTTCTGAAATTTACAGTATGATACTCTCTCTCTCTTGTTAGTTAACTTAAAGGTAGTGTCGCCGATCACACCACAAATCACGCATTCTCGTTACCATTTTACACGCATACAGTCGTCTGTACCATGAAACAGGCAATAGCAGTCTTCGATGACAGATTACACGTAGGGATATGGCGTTATCACCGTCATGTGATTGACGATGCCGCTTTTGAGTTAACTAGCTGGAGAATCATTCTGTACGAATTTACATTCTGTCACGAATATATTTACAAGCGCGTCTTTCAACATTATTAGACTGCGGATTTTCATGCATTTCTAGAAAATCTGAAAATGCAAAAATGCATAAAATGCATATAATGCGCAAATGTATATGAAACACGCACGGTATGGTATTCGTTATGATGTTTAATAGGCAAAACAATTCTCTATCTTTCCAATTATAATCGTAAAAATATGAATTTGCATAAGTATCCGCGGTTTAAACGTTACTATATACATACTGAAGTATTTGATAATTCTTACAAAACAAGTTGGTAATCATTTTACAGAGGGTTAGAAAATCGATTAGTAAACGTTCAGTAGCGAAACGAGCTTCGTTGGTAAAGAATAGATGCGCGAGTAAATTTTTAACGGGTAATCTAAATCTATAATTTAATTAATATAAAGCAATTTCGTTAGAAAGGTAGAAAGTGTCGTTTTTGACTATTAATTTCCGATGAAACTCACGATATTCTTCTTCCATGTCGATCAATTAACGACGCGAGGGATGTAATTGGGAAATTTATTATAAGAATAAATAGTTTAAACTGTCTGAGGAATGTCGTTCGATTTATGTAATTTTAATTCCAATTTCGGATAGAATAAATATTTAAACGTTAACGTTATACCATGGTGTGGTTACAGTACGTTAAACAAATTAATGGAATGATTATCTTTGCGAAACAAACATACATAAATTCTAGATAATAGAGCTCTCCATAATTATAGCTACATGATAGAATATATCGATATAATAACTCAAACCAATCTCCGCGTAGCCTGTTTACCGTCAAACTCGTTTTAATTAAATTCCAAAGCTCGCAGTACAATTTCACTAATAAACCGCACAAACTTCTCATCTCTTGACATATTCCTGATTTTTTCCGCTTCAAACGTACCTTTCGTTTCGACGCTTTGTGAACATTTCGGTTCGCTTCTTTCACGACACACCCGACAACTAACAATAGACATCTAATCTAATATATACTATTACTAACAAACTATTAACAAAACTACTAACAAAACACATCTAATTATTATAAAAGTTTTGAAATCTAAAATTTCTATCTGTCGTTCCATGAATTAACAAAGAAAGAGAGAGAGAAAGAAAAAACGGCGATCCTCGCGAGTTAGTAATTGTCTTAGCGAACTGACGATTAGACAGCAATTAATTCTTTCCCAATCAGCGTAAGTGGTAAAGAAAAAAGAAAAAAAAAAAAAAAATCGTGGACAAGGTTGTATATTGGCGCATTGTCACGATACACGCAATCCCTTTACAGACGCTACACACGTGCGTTGGTGAAATCGATCACAACTGTCCGTTCCCGTGCTTTTCACAAGGACAAGCAGAATTCCAGGAACGTCCGATCCTCGTCGCCGGACAACGAAACGAACTCGTCGATCAATCGGCACGCTAATGGCGGAATTCGGCCATCGCCACTCGATGCACTTCGTGCAAATTGTATTTGAAGGTACGTCAAGCATCGTTTGGATTCGCAGTTGCCAAATTCTACATTGGCTTTTGATTACACACCGAAGACGTCACTGGAACACCGCTTCGCTCATCCGGCCCCGTTAGTTCTTTTCCGTCATTATCGACGTGATGCCTTTTTAACTTTAACGCGTTCACCGCCAAAGCCGTATTTTCACGGACCTTCTAATGGTGTTCCATGATAAAGAAATCGAGTACGGACTTTTGTCATTGTTGACTCTAATTTTTCAGCGTTGGAAAAACTGCACGGAACAAAAAGAGAAAGAGAGAGAGGGAGAGAGAGAGAGAGTTAAAACGAGGGATTATTGCGACACTCTTTTTACGCGAGGTTGAATGCAGCGTTGAGAAACTAAGCAGAGGCCGTAGTACTTACTTTTACGTATCTGCTCTTTTTACTATTCAGATTTAAGTCGTTGCAAACAGTACGTATTATACCGTGTACTTTCGTATATTGCTTGGATTAGGTTCGATTCAGTTTGCCTTTAAATCAAAAGGTACTTCGATCAATTTTGTAAATGCCTTCGTTTGGTTGAAATTTTGTTCGATCGGCATTTTTGCGGTGAAATTCATCGTTTTAGATGATTAAATGCATATTACGTATCAAAATTTCTGCTCTTCCGTGTTTTTACAAACGTTTGTAGTACCTTTTGTAAGGTTGCAAATTCTCTTTGCTGGTTGTTGAAAAGATCGACATAGTAATAGACGCATTTAAACGAATAATCGTTTTTTACTTGTTCGACGAGTGATTCTACGATTTCAAACGCGAAACAATAAAAAATTGTTTTACAATTTGTGCTCTGTACGTGAATCGTATGCATGTGTTTTATTCGATATTTTCATGTTTTTAAAACTACGAAGAATCTAACACGACTGATTGATTCGACGAATGATTCACGCACCCATACCTTTTTACACGTCTTCAATCCTATCGCGGGCCTTGCTTTATTTTATTTCCTTTTCTGGTTTTTCATAATTTGTTTATAATATAATAGATAGTTTATATGTAAGGACTATAAGTAGCCAGAAGTATAACGTGTTGCTGGCTACTTTAAAAATCCAATTAATGTTATTGGATTTTATTTTATTATGCTAGTCTGTTTCACTAAAAATTATGGTCATTCAGTTTGGAACTTTTTATGAACGTTAAAATCATAAGGAGGATTTTCTCCTTACTGCTACGTACTCATTTGAGTATCGCTCGTAGAAATGTGGCCCACTTAACGTTTCAATCTGACGGATAATCGTAAAAATCTTCGCTTTATATAAAGAGGAACGCGTCAAAACAGACGCGAAAGAGCAATAATAAAAAAAAAAGAAAAATAATAATAAAACAATAAGAAAAATCGGAAGAGTCCCATAATTTTGGACAAATTTTGCTCCTTTCGAAGAATCGTATTTCTTCGAATACAAATTGCCACTTTATCACAGAGATACGATAACTATAAAATAAAATACGTTAGCGAGACATTATGAATCGTAGAGTTTTGTACTATAAATTTTTCATAAAATTACAAACAAGAAAGATCATGTTTGTCCAGAGGAAAAACTATGTCAGTTTAGTCATACTCTATAACATTTCTGGTTTTTAACTGACAAATGGGTCAGCTGTCCAAGCTTTTTATTTCGTAAAATCCTATCCAGGTCGGTATAACAGGTATCCGTTGAATTTCACAATTTTTATGACTTTCATGATTTTGTCTGCAGTACAAACACGTGCCTGGAACGTATCTCTGCCAATGAATATCGCGCAAGTGGCACATGAGAGCGATGTTTGAAAAGCGAAGCTACCAAGAATACGTACAGATATTAGTATGACTAAGTGGCAGCTATAAGTACTATGTGCTCAGGAGCAGGTATACCAAGATAAGTCTACAAACGTACAGTGCATGACGATTGAGGGTTATAAAGGATAGCTCCGAGATAAGTTTCAGAGGATATTTTGAGCACACAATTGCTCGCGTAACTGATATTTACAGATTCGTTTATATTGGATGGTAGCGTTATTTTGTTATACATATATATATATATATATAATATCGTGAAATTTTTAACGGCCAGACATTATTATCGTTATATTCCATGGAACTAAATGAGAGACAGATGTTACACAGACATAGGTAGTTTTAAAGCTTCGTTTTAAATAAAAAGCTTTTATTTAAATTAAAAAGTTATAAAAAAAAAGTATGAAACACAAAAGGAATTTAGTAGCAGATTCGCGGTTACTGCGATATCACGTAAGAACGGATAAGCGATATTTGCGTTCACTCTGTTTATGCAAACGTAACTAATTCTGCATCTCAAAATGCTAGATTCGTTGAAACGAAACAAGGTAGAAATGAAATTCGCGAGGGATAATAAATTCTATTTTCGGCCGCTGTCAATCTTGTATTGTCAAGAACCGTGAACATTTCGAGATGAAGAATTAGTTACGTTTGCATAAACAGAGTGAACGTAAATATCGTTGGTGTATTCCTGTATTATATCGCAGTAACCGCGAGTCTGCTACTATCGTTCCCTCCGTATTTCACATCTCTGCCATAACTTTTTAATAAAGTTTTCAACGACTTACGTTCGTGTCGATCTTTTTCTTATTTCGACCATACCACGTATTGACAACGTTTGGCTGTTAAAATCTGGAACACCCTGTGCGTACAGGGCGTTCCGTCTATATCGCCCACTTTGATATTTTCGTTACTTTTGCAGAAACAAAAGTACGTACGAGCAAAATGCTTTTTAGTTTGCAACGACAAATATCGTGATTCACGTTTGTTCTCTTCGACGTCGCTTCTCTTCCTTTTTCGATTTCCACGATCATCGATAATTTCTCGATAATAACGAGATAATTTTCGTGGTCGTATCGTTGTAAGCTAATAAAAGAACGAATTTCAAGGTGCAGGTACGTTGCAACGATCTTGAGTGGACAGAGTATGTCGGCAACGATATAACGTAAGATGGTAAACAGAGACTTACTCGTTCGCTGTGTCCGATACAACCGGCGAATGATACAAGTTCAAATCCTGGAACACCACTTGGACTCGTTCCTTTCCCCGTCCCTGGAAGTCGTATGTACAGTGCGTCCTTGGTGGATAAGGTTTCGGATATCCTGGTGACATGACTATCCCTGTTTTCGTCGAGTCACTGTTGAAAACGATATCGCACAGTGACGCTGAAAAAAAAACAAGATAACAAAGCACGTTACGTGTGGATACAACGAAATGCAGGACTGTTAAGCGACTGTTTAACTTTTTTCATTGCTGCTTTGTCGATCGGTATAGTTATCAAACTTCGATCGAGTTTCAAACGGAGGAGAATTTAAAAAAAGAAAAAAAAAAACGAATATTACTAGTAGACTAATGACCTTGACATATGTTGTCAAGAACAGTAACCCCCAGAAGATTTCAGCCATTGTCCGTAATCGTTTAAAAAATCATTAACGAAAGAAGATTTGTAAAAAACAACGTATGCTGTGCATATCATAAAGAAACACCGTACGCGTTGCTCGCTCGCTACCACTCGCTCGTAAAAATCTAGTTCAACCCGATACCAATTCCACACGTGAGTGAAACGGGCGGGCCATTTTTAAGAAAAAAAGTTTTTTCGTCGAAAATCGGCCCCCCTACGCTCGTATGTAGAATTGGTATTGGGTTGGACTAGATTTTTACGAGCGTGCGAGCAACGCGTGCAGCGTTTCTTTGAAATAAAACCTGGCAGATAAACGTGACTGTCGTATGGGCTATGTGCGTGTTCGCAGTCGCATATATTTACGCATAGGTGGAATGCGATGCACGTAGTAATCATTTTGTTAATAAATTATCGAAGAATAACGAGCGATGGCTAGATATTTCGGCAGGTTGTTCAGCAGAGTGTCCTTGACAACATATGTCAAGGCCAGTGGATTCCATTTTCTCAAGATTCGCCACTGGTTGCATCATTATGTGAATAATTCGTAACTGTATGATGCAGCGACGCAATTAGTAATTATACAGGGTGGTTGGTAACTGGTGGTACAAGCGGAAAGGGGGTGATTCTATGGGAAAAAAGAAATCGAAAACATAGAATAAAAATTTTTTTTTTTAATTTTTCCATCGAGACAACGATCTACAGTGAGATCCGTTATAACGAGACGCGATAAAGTGCACGCGTACCCAACGAAAATTCAAAGTCGATTTTCTCGAAAACAAAGTCTCGAACGAAAAATTTTTATTTTATATTTTCGACTTCTTTTTTAGCGTAGAATCACCCCCTTTCCGCTTGTACCACCAGTTACCAACCGCCCTGTACATGAAATAATAGCAGTTGCCCGGGTCTCGTCACGTTCCTTCAACCCTTCTTTTACGCGCAAAAATCTCATAATTAGACTGTATTCTCTCTCTATACACATATAAGTTAAAATACGTACGTATACGTGTCAGGTAAAAGGTTCTATATAGCTCGATTTATCCGCACTAAATTACGCACGAATATTCCTCATCATCCCTTCTACAACCCCCTCTTAACTTACGCCCGAGAAATTATTTCTGTGAAGTAGCTTAATAAATTTCAACAATTTTAAGAGAACATTCGATGAATCAATTTTCCTCGTACGATGGTGTGAGTGTTCATGAATGGCTTGAAAATTTATCGTGGAAATATTAGTTAAAAAGCTCAGGCTTTTGAGAGCCGGGCACACGCGGTTAAATCCAAGATCATTGGAGCTGGCTTCTCTTTTATTAACATTCGTCGTGAAATCTAGTGTTCAATGAAATGAAAATTACGAAGTATGGTCGTTTTAATGCGAATTCTTCGCACAAAGAATTCTCTCGAAATGTTCGTGAGATAGCTGCCGATAAGTTGTCTCGCGGCAACGCTCGCGATTTTAATTAATTGGCTCCATGTTAATTACCAGATACAAAGAGTATTAATTTATTGTCCTTTTAGTTCATTGGCTTGTTTGCGTAATTAGTTGGCCACGCAGGACATGCGACATAGACGCTTCAAAGGCAACGAATTGTACGCACGATGATGGCGTGAAATCTGTTTTCATAGCAAATGTAAAATTTCGTCACTCAGTCTCGTATTTAACAGACTCGACGAAACGTTTTCAGCTTATTTAACGATTTTACATGGATTGTACATATCCGATTAGAATATAGAAAAAGAGTTACGCGTAATCGTGGAACAAAGCTATCTCTTCGTTCTCGTCTCTATTATCTTTCTTCGGTTTCTATCTGTCTGGTTTCTATCGTGTCTCTTCCGTTTCTTACGTTAACGCGTTACGCCGTGTTCGTCAAATCGGCATAAGAAAAGATGAGATTATAAAAGATAAAAAGGCTGTAAGGAGGTTCTTGAATGCTTGAAATCCAAAAGATATGATACGACAAGGATTTACCGCATGAGAAGTAAAAAAGCGAAGTGATATGTACGATGGCTTATGAATTTTGTATGAGTGTTTGAATCACAGTCTTACGAACGTATATCTGGATATCGTTCTCGAGATTATTAGCATATCGAAAATATTGTTCATAGTGGCACGTTCCTCGTTAAGACGACCGCAGTTGCTTTTTATTTCTTTGAAACGGCGCTACATCTCCAACAGTTTGAATAACAGCGTGATATACGCGACGAGACAAATTTTTCAAAGAATTCCTAAAGAATTAAGATATATCAAGCTTCTGGTAAACCGATGATACGAAGTGCGTTATTATGTTATGACAAATAACTTTCAGCGACGCTATAGCTTATCACAGAATATCACGATTCGATCATTTAACTCTCCATTAATATTGATTGCAGTGCAATATCTCCGCTTCAATTTAACGTATCTCCGCTACGATTTACGTCAAAATTATGTATTTTAATAACGCGAAGCTGACGAAGAAAATTAAGACATAATATATTGATACCTGATGTTTATTGATGTATCTGCTCGTAGAACCCGATTTATTTGACAATGATTACAGCTAAATAAGATACATATATTCGACCATTAAATCGTAGTTTATAACATTGACTTATCGTAGTACAGTCATATTGCCTAATTAAAGTAGGCGTAAGCTATTCTCTAAGTCGATTGCGAAAGCAAATTTTCTTTTAACTACTTGAACGTATAGAAAATTCGAAAAATTATATCACCTTCTTACTAATGTACATCGAAAAGAAACAGATCTGTTTCGTGATTTATTATACGCATAATTGAACTTTTAATTATAATTCTACTCTTCTTTAATTTTCAAGCTTTCATGCTTATTGCATTTGATTTATTAAACATTTGAAGAGGGATTTTCGTGTGACAACGATAAAAGCAAGTGATTTTTATGATTTTCTTTTAGATTAACTACCGCTGGTTATGTGGAACTCTTTGGACTGTACGTAGTGTAAGTGCAATTTGTTTATTTCACTTCTTCTTATTGTTTATTGCACATTATGCAAGCCTTGTGATTATGTTTGATGAAATGTCGTTTGACGTGGTCGGCGTGCAGTACAACGTCCGTTCATAGTCGTTAAAGTGTAAAAGTCAAGGAATTTTCTTCAAGTTCGATAGACTATTCTACGACTGAACCTATTTTTGAGAGGAAACCGTGAAAAATTGAAGTTCTAACGTCTCGAAAAAAATGTACCTTTTCCGGCAGGTAAATTGAACGTGTATCATCCAAAAAGGCATTATAAATAAATAATGGAATAGAAATTTGAGGTTTGATCCATGAACGGCAATTTGTAACAAAGTGAACGAGTTTCGTTCGAAATTGATTGATCAATTACTTTTTCAATTATCGTACACGCCAGTTTAGAAAGTTGCTAAACAATCGGAACAATTTAACTAAAAAATTACATTTCAACTTCTATTTAGTATTACAATTTAGTAGTACTTGCTTCGAACAAATATTCATCAAAATCGCTCGTTTCTCTCGTTGTTACGCCCCCCCCCTGCCCTTAAATCAAAAGTTTAGATACCCACTTTATATCAAGCAATTCACAAACATCGATATCAAACTCTATAAAAATGCAATTACAATTAAATACAAATTATATTTATACATATATATATATACAAATGCAAATTATAATTATATTTCAATGTAATTATAATTAATTGCAATTACAATTACAATTATAATTAAATGTAAATTAAAAATCTATATGCCGCTACTACCTGAATTGTTCTAACATTGTATATTATCTTTATATTGTCATGTATCAAAAGCTGTGACAAAGTAAACGAAGATATTTTTACATCCGTTCGTAAATTCCTCGATAACTGGGTTAGCAAGCGGCAGTCTCGCAGACTTGCCGCGATTACGGTGCCGTTTCACTTCGTTAGTGGCCAATTTCCGCGGAAACGGCAGATTACATAAGCGAGAAACGAGCAATGCGACCGAATCCGCAGCGGTCAACAAACGCGAGCGTTGTCGAGCGATTCGTTAAATCGTACAATACTCCGCGGCGAAGGAAATTAATGAGCTGGTCGGGGTCTCCGCTTTAGTCAGAAAAATACAAGGAAATGCCCGAGCCACGACAAGTACCCGCCCTAATTGAATAATCGTGCCGCGCCGGTAACAGCCACGCGATTCGCCAATTTTAATTCACTTTCGACGTTAATGCGGTTTTTATTTAACGATAGGAAAGACCCGTACCGAAATTAACGCGCACCTTTTCCACGTTTAACTCGGCGAAATCAGTATAATTCCACAATTTTCACCAGCCGAATTTTCTACACGATTTCAACCGGCTGCCCGATATACACTATGATTCATAAATGCGCATTTATATATTTTGCACGAATGTAAATACTCGAGACGAGTGTATTCGACGTTTGATAATAAGTTAACATTTTGGCTAACTTACACTGTCGTTTCTAAGTACACGGACATTTTGTTCGACTCATATCAACGATACACGAATAATTAATAAGATATATGAACGAATACGATATTTACTATCTTCCTGCGATCTTAGGGAGTTTACATATATCTTCTTGGGTAATAAAAGTTATATATATATATCCATTATCAACTCTGGAAGAGCCTTCTCTATTTTATGTCCATGCATCGACAGTTAATCGAACCGACGATAACGCAATGTTCGTCCGTTCTGAAACGTGCATTTGTGAATCACGCTAAATAGAAGCTGCATAGAAGTTGCCAAAAATATGGCAGCCCGGTAAAAAGCGAAAAATTCAGAGTGAAAAAG